GTTATGTATACGTATACTTGGGCCCGAGGCCGTAGTTTGTGCATATATATATATATATATATATTGGGCCTGAAGCCGCAGTTTAATATTCAGATAAACAGGTTGTTCATCATTTCAGAAGAGGGAGTATTCATATCCTTATTTCCTTTCAGTTCAATTATTAGTTACCGTTCAGTTATTAGTTATCATATCAGTTACCAGTTATCAGTTCAGTTATCAGTTATCAGTTCAGTTACCAGTTATCAGTCCAGTTATCATTTATTAGTTATCATTTTATTTATCAGTTATCAATTATCATTTCAGTTTCAATTTCAATAGTTATCATTTCAGTTATCATTTATAAATTCTCAGATATTAGCTTAGTTTTAGTTTCAACATTTATAATTCTTTCTTTCAGTTTCCTTACATACCAGTACAATTCAAATGCACTGACGTCCCGTTTTGCCCGGGGCCTGCATCTCACAATGCATGTAATGATTTACAGGTCGACGACGTAGAGCGCTAGGATTCCCGTACCAGCTATTTGGTGATCCCTAATTCTTTTGGGGTATTATCATTACTTTATAGCCTTTCAGTATTTACAGATAGTCAGTGTTTTTAGTACTTCAATAGAGGCTTCATAGACTAGAGTAACAGTTAGACAGAGTCTTAAACTTTTCATATTAAGCTATGTTGGCTACAAATATGTTTCAGAATTGTATTAGTATTTGCGCACTTTGATTTATATCATGCAGACTTTCAGTGTATCATCATATATTAGTTTATCTTCCGCATTTAGTATGTTATGATATCAAATGTTGATTCAGCCAGCCAGTTGGTTCACTCGGTCACATGTAGTCAGGTACCGAGTATCGTGTTACGTCTAGGCCCAGGTTCAGGGACCTTTGTTGTCTGTCTTTTTCTAAGAGCTTGGCGAATCCCACAACAGAGGAGAAGACTGTCATCTCTACCGCTGTAGTTGATGTTGTATCCTTAATGTGGTAAGCCAAACCGCCAACAAACTTGCGAATCTCTGCTTTTTCTGTCTTAACCATGTGAGTAGCATGCTTAGCTAGCTTTATGAATTCCATGTAGTACTCTTGCACACTTTTATTCCCTTGCTTGAGCTATTCGAACTCTGTAGCCTTAGCTTCCCTATCCTCTTCTGGAATAAAGTTAGCCATGAAGGCCTCTTCAAATTCTTCCCAAGTAGGCGGACCATCATGTTTATCTCTTTCCTTTTCCCACATTTCAAACCAAGCACCGGCCACATCTCTAAGCTGGTAAGTATCCAGCTCCACAGCTTCATCATCAAATGCTTTCATCGCTTGGAAGGCTTTCTTGACACCCTCCAGCCATAACATTGGATCTTCATCAACTATTGAACCATGGAACAGTGGAGGACTCAACTTCAAAAATTCATTCACTCTTGAGGACTCAGAATTGTTCTGTCTATTTGATTGAGGTGGAATCTCATCTCTTCTCTCGTTCTGGTTGGCCATGAAGGCTTTAAACATCTTCATAACACTGTTGACTACATTAAACATCTGACTTCACCTCTGGAGATATAATTTTTTGAGTTGGAGCTGCTGTTGGGGGCGACACTAGATCCTGAGGTACTGGATCATCATGCTCCACCCCTTCTTCATGTTCAACCCGGGGTACTTGAACCCCCTTTATGGATTTACCCTTCATTTTCTATGTTGGAGCCTTTTTAGTTCTGCCTTGAGCCACAATAGTAGTAATAATTTATTGAGCAACATCCTGAGTGTCGGTGTCAGAGTTGCGAGTATGAGCCATTTCTTCAAGTTTTAGAGAAACGAATACATTAGATAATTTCTTAGAGGTAGGATATACTGCACGATCTAAAGTATGAGAAAAATGAGACTTTTCCTAAATTCCTGAAGCCTCTTATTTATAAGTATGACGCGCTTCATACCCACAAACAAGACTCTACTAATACGACTTCATAGACCCCTAGGACTCCATAAACCCGAGGCTCTGATACCAAGTTTGTCACGACCTATTTTCTGAACAAGCCGTGACCGGCACCCGATCGCTAAACATGACCGAGCGATCTATCTGTGCTTATCAAAACTATTATAACTTAAAATTTTATATGCCACATGGAACTACTGCAACCAAATACCTTTAAATAATTTAAATATCTAAAACAAGCCAACTTCAAAACTTTATTTGTAGTAACCAATGAAAAACTGCTAAGTTATTATAAAAACATCTGAATCTTAACCCACCGATTGTGTCTATGAAGCCTCTACTGATAAACTGACGCATTGCTCAGGACATGAGATTTTCTGGCTAGTTATCTAAGTAAACAAAGAAATAACAAAATAAAAATGACTCTAAGGAATACTCCACAAACAAAAGCGGATCTCACCAATAGTACTGGAAGAGAAGGAATTCCTAACTCGTAGCTTGCTCGCCTGCAAAAGCAGTTCCTACGTTGTACCGCAGACCAACGTAGATTCCCAAAAGAGAACGTCAGTACCATCCATTGAACTTAGTGAGTCTCTATGATAGAAGACGAAACTTTATTAACATATACATTATGAGCAAAGATTCTAAATGCATGTAAAACATAAAGTTTATAAGAACAATTCTAAAACAATTGCATAATAGCAGTTTATGAATATTCTTAAAAAATTCTTTTCTTTTGATTTCTTACAAAAAAAATACTTCACTTTATACTTTGGGAGTTCCAACTATTCTGACTTAATTCTGTCTCAGTCACCATGTGATCGGCACGGGTTCGATCCCAACCTGATCGAATAGGCCCAAACCACAAGGTGCCACTCGATTCATGATTCTCAACGCTCATGTATCATACCTTAGCATGGCTAAGTAATTTCTCAGCAACGAGACACTCGGCTCGTGTTCTCCCTACTTTGGCACAAGTAGTTTCAGGAAGTCAACGCCTTGGTTAGGACCCTCGGCCAGGACGATGACCCCTTCTCAGAATAAAGGATACTTCCAAAAATCTTTTCTTTCTACATCTTCTTGTGACTTTTCAAGTCTAAATCTTTTCTTTTTGGAACATCATGTACATGCTCATGCTGTTATCCTTAAATGTAAAGCATTGCATAAGAATGAAATAAACATCTAGAAGTATTTCTAAAGATTCTTGCTTCTTCATAAATTTTCAACATGAAAATAACATATGAGAATAACACAAAAATCTGAAAATTTATGCACATATATCATATAAATCATCTAAATTTTTGCTAGAACAATTCTAAGTTAATAGGTACTCACTCGCTTCAATTAAGTAAATATAAACTCTTTTAAGCAATTCATCAAATGCCTTATATGTGTGATTTTGTGAGTTAAACCATTTTAAAAAAGGGTTATATCAACTCACCTCAAAACTTCTTGAGCCAATACGTAGACCCCAGTCCAATTTATAACCGTCAAATAATTGATTCAACAACAACCAGTGCATTTTAATTAATTTTAAAGTTTCACACCTAAACATGGAATTTACTGTTGATATAGAGGAAGAAGGAAATTAACTATTCTATTCTTACCTACTACTACTTTAGGATAATTGACAATAGGGAATTTTATATACCTGAGTTCAAGAATTAGTGATTTGTAAAGAACCCTAGAATTTTCGTTGCCTGTGTGAGTATTTCGCTGAACGACGCTTCTGTTTCTTGGGCAAATAGAATGTCGAGTTCTGTTTTTATTTTTCATAAGGCATAAGCCTTTTGCCTGCCAACTGCCAAGAGCCCGTTATGGGCTTTAGGTTGCACGTGATTTCTTTTACTTTTTTTTTGACTTAACTAGTATTTAATTATTCCTACTTTTAATAATTAATAATAATAAAATTATTAATATTCCCCTAATTGTACATCCAATTATTTATAAATAGAGAAGTAACTCAAAATCAATCACAAGGGTTTTAATCCGTAATAGAAGTATAATTTAAGATTATAAAAATTAAATTCTATATTTAGTGGGTCTTGAAACTTTTATAGATTTGAAGAGTGTTACAATCTTTCCTCCTTAAAAACATTCGTCCTCGAATGTTGCTAGGGCCTTATTCTTAAGTTAACAATCATTCCTTAGGTCCTTGAACCTCTTAAGTTTTCTTAGCACTACCCACTCTTCCAAGGGACTCAAAATTTTGGCTAACTCCCTAAATTTTCAGAAATTTTGGCAGATTTTTCCTTGTAAATATGGACTATCCAAAAAAAAATATCCCAGTCACAAATGCCACAACTACACCAACAACAATTAAATATACCATAACAGGCCATTCATAGGCACCATACACAACTCATAAATTAATTACTCACACTCCAGTAGGACATAAACAAGTAAATCACTTTAATGAATTAAATATACTATGGCATAAACTAAATTACTACAACAACTAATATAATCTAGGAAGGACATAAATACTTGCTAACTTATATTTAATAAATAAAATATAAATGTCAATCCATGTCTAGGTTAACATACCTTGTTACTCAAATAAATATGGATATTTCTTCCTCATATCTTCCTCAACCTCCCGCGTAGCCTCTTTTGAATCATGATTACTCCACAAAACTTTTACCGATGTTATATCCTTTGTTCTCAACTTTCGTACTTGCCTATCGAGAATTTCTATAGGTACCTCTTTATAAGTCAAGCCTTCTTTAATTTCTATGATATCGGTAGGTATTATATGCGACTAATCATGAATGTACTTTCTAAGCATAGACACATGAAAAATAGGATGAACAGAGAACAACTCAACAGGTAACGCTAGCTCATAAGCCACGTTTCCCTTCTTTTTCTATAATCTCATAAGGTCCAATAAATCTAGGACTAAGTTTCCCCTTCTTACCAAACCTCATAACTCCTTTCATTGGTAAAACTTTCAAAAACTCCTTGTCACCAACCATGAACTCTAAGTCACAATGCCTCTTGTCATAATAAGACTTTTGACGACTCTGAGCCGTTTTCAGTCTTTCTCTAATTAGCTGGACTTTCTCTAAGTCCTCACAAACAAACTATGGACCAATCAATGGCACCTCTGCTGGTTCAAACCAACCCACTGGAGACCTACATCTTCGCCCATACAATGCTTCATAAGGAGCCATACCAATACTGGTCTGATAGTTGTTATTGTAAGAAAATTCTATAAGTGGTAAGTGATCATCCCAGTTACCTCCGAAATCTATAACACATGCTCGCAACATATCTCTGAGAGCCTGAATGGTCCTTTCTGCCTGACCATCGGTCTGTGGATGGAAAGCGATGCTCAAATTGACCTTGGTACCTAATCTTTTCTGAAATGCCTGCCGAAATGTGCCGTGAACTGAGGGCCTCTGTAAGATATGATTGAAACTGGAGTACCATGCAATCAGACTATTTCTTTGATGTACAACTGCGCATACTACTCTACGGAATCTGTCGTCTTTACTAGTAGGAAATGCGCGGACTTTGTCAGTCGGTCTATAATAACCCAAATTGAATCATGCTAAAGGTATGTGCGAGGTAGACCTACTACAAAATTCATATTAATCATCTCCCATTTCCACTGTGGTATTTCTATATCTTGAGCTAGGCCACCAGGTCTCTAATGCTTGGCTTTGACTTGCTAGCAATTCAAACATTTAGCCACATGATACGCTACTTGCTTCTTCATGCCTTTCCACCAATACAACTCTTTTAAGTCCAGATACATTTTGGTAGCACCTGGGTGGATAGAATACCTCGAACTGTGAGCTTCTTCCATTATATCCTTCCTAAGACCGTCTACATCAGGAACACATAACCGATCATTCAACTTCAAAACTCCTTCATTTTCTAGAGTGAAAGCAGTGATTTCTTTATTTCTAACTCCTTTTTTAACTTCACTAAATCTTCATCTTGCTTAGCCTTAACATACACAACTAAAGAGGATTGCGCTAAGGGATAAGCAATTGTACCTCCTTCTTCGGTCTCATCCAGTCTAATTTCATCATTTGCCAGTTTTTGAATTTCTCGACCCAAAGTTTGCCTTTGCACTGCAAGATGGGCCAAGACACCCATTGACTTCCTACTAAGTGCATCTGCTACCACATTAGCTTTGCCCGGGTGAGAAAGGATATTGATGTCATAATCTTTCAGTAGCTCGAGCCACCTTCTCTATCTCAAATTTAATTCTTTTTGCTTAAAAATGTACTGGAGGCTTTTGTGATCTGTAAATACTTCAGAATGCTCGCCATAAAGGTAATGTCGCCATATCTTTAATGCAAACACCACTACTGCAAGCTCTAATTCGTGTGTGGGATAGTTCTTTTCATGATTCTTTAACTGCCTGGATGCAGACGCAATAACTTTTCCATCTTGCATAAGAACACAACCAAAGCCCACTCTGGAGGCATCACAATACACTGTGAACCCATCCAAACCTGTCGGCAAGGTTAACACAGGCGTAATGGTCAACCTCTTCTTTAACTCTTAAAAACTCTGCTCACAAACATCTGACCACTGGAACTTAACTGCTTTCTGAGTCAACTTAGTTAATGGAGCTGCAAGTGAGGAAAACCCCTCTACAAACCTTTTATAGTAGCCAGCTAACCCCAACAAACTCCTGATTTCAGTTGGCATTGTCGACCTAGGCCAGTTCTTGACTGCTTCTGTCTTCTGAGGGTCTACTTTTATTCCTTCACTAGATACCACATGGCCTAAGAATGCCACTGACTGCAACCAGAACTCACATTTTGAAAACTTGGCATAAAGCTCATTCCCTTTCAGGGTCTGCAAGGCTATTCTGAGGTGTTCGGCATGCTCATCCTTGCTCTTAAAGTATACCAAAATATCGTCTATAAACACGATAATAAAGGTATCAAGAAATAGATTGAAAACTCTATTTATGAGGTCCATGAATGCAGCTGGAGCATTTGTCAACCTGAAGGACATTACTAGAAATTCATAGTGCTCGTAGCGAGTCCTAAATGCTGTTTTAGATATATCTTCTTCTCTGATCCTCAACTAATGGTACTCCAACCTCAAGTCTATTTTTTAAAAGTACTTTGCGCCCTGAAGTTGATCAAACAAATCATCAATTCTTGGCAGTGGGTACTTGTTCTTAATGGTAACTTTTTTCAACTACGGATAGTCGACGCACATTCTGAGGGACCCATCTTTCTTCTTGACAAACAGGACCGGGGCACCTCACGGTGAAACACTCGGCCTGATGAAGCCCTTGTCAAAAAGGTCTTTTAACTACTCTCTCTCAACTCATTAAGTTCTGCTGGAGCAATCCTATAAGGAGGTATAGATATAGGCTGAGTGCCTAGCATGAGATCAATGCCAAAGTCTATGATTCTTTCAGGAGGAAATCCAGGAAGTTCATCTGGGAAAACTCAACTGGCATAGACTGAAGAGTTGGTGGTTCTGATTCTGGATTAATGATGTGAGCCAAATAGGCGAGACACCCCTTACCGATCATTCATTGTGTCTTAAGGTAAGAAATAAACTTACCTACAAGTGATGCTGAACTACCTTTCCACTCTAAGACTTCTTCATTTGGAAATTGGAACCTAACTATCTTGGCACGACAATCTAACATGGCATAGCAGGAAGACAACCAATCCATACCCATGATCACATTAAAATCCACCATTTCTAACTCTATGAGATCGGCTTTGGTGTTTCAACCTTGGACTGAAACTATACAACCTCTATAGACTCTTGTGACTTTCACTGACTCACCAAAACTGGAGTAGATACTAGGAATGACTCACTAAGTTGTTCAGGTTCTAGTCTGAGGTTAGTTTCAAAGTATTGAGTCACATATGAAAACGCTGAACCTAGATCCATTATGGCATAAGCATTATTTGAGCAGACTAAAAGTATACCTGTAATAACTTCTGTCACACCTCCTTTTTCCTACACCCGCAAGGGCGTAAGGGGAGTTTTCCCAATTAAAGGACAATCAAAACGGGATTTATTATTTGATTCAGAGTCGCCAGTTGGGAGATTTATGGTGTCCCAAGTCACCGGTTGAATCCCAAATCGAGGAAAAGATTGACTTTGTATTACAGTCCGCGAACCAAAAATCCGGATAAGGAATTCTGTTAAATCGGGAGAAGGTGTTAGGCATTCCCGAGTTCCGTGGTTCTAGCACGGTCGCTCAACTGTCATATTCGGCTTATTTATGTGATTTTAATACATGTTGAACCTATGTGCAAATTTTAACTTCAACTGCTTTTTATTTATTTTTAAAGGAAAATTGCAACGTCATTAAAACAAGTCTTGAACCATGTCACATAAATGCACCCGTGGTTTTTGACATATTTTAACATTGTTGAGATTCGAATTTGGGTCACATAAATGCGCACCCGAGTTTAGGAAGGTAACATTATTAAAATACGCGCCTAAAGAGACTAGCGCGTTATTACTTTGGGGAAAAACCGTAAAATTCGCTAAACGGCTCATCCCGAAATCTAAGTATTTTTATATATACATTTAATGAGGGCCCCATAATTTATTTGTTTGTTTAGCGAGGCTCATCTCATTTTTATCATTCAAAAGGCAAACCTAAAAGCTACGGTGATTTTTTTTACTTGTCTCTCTAAAATAAAGCAAAAGGGTCTAATTAATTAACATGACTTAAGAAACCCGTTTTAAAAAATTAAGACCCAAATAAGCACAAGGGCAGGCCATTCACAGGCCTGGGCCCAGGTCCAAATGAATTTAATGTGAAACAGGACCTGGGCCACCTTGTTCACACGTTGAAGCCCAAACCACCTAAATATAGGCTCTCAGCCCCTTTTCGACAAAATGAACCACAACTCCAATTTAAACAAGACTAAACACTTGCTGGAATTTTAGTTTCCACTTTTAATAATTCGTACCCCAGACAAGATTAAACGCAAAGACTGGATTGAGTAAAATGCTCATGAGGTAACCTCAAGTATATGAACTACCACCCTGATTACATAGTTTGGCTATTTACATCCTTTATGTTCCCTAGCACACTCAGCTAGTATTTTAATCAAACTTAACTACTACTGAAATAGCTTCTTAAAATGACTTTATTGCAACTATATTACTTACTAGAATAACTTCATGAAGCAACCTGAAATGACCATTGGAGTTAACCTTAGCTAGTTAAGACATTGCTCTACTGAACATAAGTATAACTGAATGCTTAGCTAAGAGTATTCACACAAGTCTGAGAAAACCAAATACTCACAGTCCAAATACGGTCCAGTATGAATCAACTGGTCTAAGTAGTTCAGAAATGGTTCTAATTATACCATCCTTAATACAATACAAATTAGATGAACAAAATATGTATACTACTCAACAGATGATCAAATACAGCCATATGCATTCCAAACGAGCATGGCTCTGGAAATATGGTTTCATTTCATTCAAATCTGCAGTTACATCAAGGTGAGTTCAAATTGTGTACCTGGAAATCAGAAATCAACAGGAAGTAGAAGCAGTTAGCTCAGCAGGGCAGTCAACAGCTATTAGGAATTTCACACAGCCACAACACAACTATTCTTCAACCCAGGAATGATTCAATGACCCAAAAACCAAACAGAAACCAAAAGATTGACCCACAGTAGTACCCAAACAAACCAAATGAACTCAAAGAGACGACCAGAACCACTTGAAACTTTCAATAGGCTAAAGTTCAATCAGAAACCACTTCAACTGGACTCAAGGTCACTCAAGATCAGTCTAATGTATTTGAATTAGGAAAATGAATTCACTGAAGAAGGAAACGAATTTCAATGACACAGTGAGACTTCTCAGTATTTCTCTCTGTTCTTTTCAAGCTTAAAACTCTCCAAACTGATCCCTAAGAGACTGACTGACTCTCCAGTATTTTAAGTGTTTTCAAACTCTCAGATTGCTTAAAGAAGAACTGGCTTAAAATGTTTTCTCACCAGCTGATTTCTTCAGAACTGGTGAAACTCCCAAGAACTCTCTCTATTTCTCTAACACTGACCCAAAAAACTGATTTCTCTCCTTTTCTTCTCTTAGGTCTTCCCCTTTTAAAGACCAATGTTTAAACTCTTTTTTATTCAAATTTTGCACTTTTCAGCCTGTTTATTCCCTCTCATGTGCGCCCCTTTAACTTTTTATCATTACCCCCATACCAATAGGTTGTGTTCCCCACTAATTATTAAACAAATGCATTATATTAATGGTACATTAGTACTTAGTGGACATAACACTCAAACTACCCATTTCTTCAAGTTTTCAATTCCCAAATTANCTCCAGGCGGGCTCCTGACTTCAACTAACTTCTTAAAATATAATACCTCCATTCTTCAGGCGGGATCCTGACTTCAACAACTTCTTAAAAATATAACACATTNTAACCAATTCTTAAAGAAGAAACCTAATCACTGATTAACTAAAGCTGAATTTAACCACAAGTTCCATTCCATCGGACTCTAAACTCAAACAAAACCACAGTCAGATTCAAACCACTAAACTCACACAACAATTGAACTCAAATCAGAATGAACAGTATTGCAACCAAGATGAAGGGTTTAAGGAATCAGGGAATAGACTAACACAATTCTACAATAAACCTAAATACGAGCAGATGAAACTGTAAATACATTGAATGAACAACTAAATTCATACACCAAGTCACGTCACAGAGTAGGGGACCAAACATCACATAAAAATGAAACAATTTGGCATAACAGCAAACGATTTGACCAGAACTACTGAACTACAATTAAACCGGATTAATCGACGAAACTATTTAACCATATGTTGACTGATAGAAGAAAACTGGACCAAGAAAAAGTCCGATGGAGAAGAAAGAAAGGAAAGTAATTGAAAAAGATAGAACTATAACGAAACTTAATCAGACAAACCATGAAACAACAAAAGAAAAAGTAAAGAAAAATAAATACCTTAGAATTTCAGTCCCAGTTCCCATTTGTTTTAGTTGAAACTCCCATTTGTGTTTGAAGCCGAGACGGACCTTAATCGAGTGTTCTCGACTGAGAATACACGACTAAGGTCGACCACGACCTCAATTCTTTCCNACGGATTAGGGTTTGGTT